TCCCACCCCCCACCGTCCCTCCCCTATTTCCCCCCAACTGACCCCAGTGTGTAGTGCTCCCCTCCCTGTGTCCATGTGTTCTCATTGTTCAACACGCACCTATGAGTGAGAACATGCGGTGTTTGATCTTCTGCTCTTCTGTCAGTTTGCTGAGAATGATGGTTTCCAGGTTCATCCATGTCCCTACAAAGGACACAAACTCAACATTTTTGATGGCTGCATAATATTCCATGGTGTGTATGTGCCACATTTTCCCTGTCCAGTCTATCATCGATGGGCATTTGGGTTGGTTCCAGGTCTTTGCTATTGTAAACAGGGCTGCAGTGAACATTTGTGTGCATGTGTCCTTATACAAGAACGATTTATAATCCTTTGGATATATACCCAGTAATGGGATTGCTGGGTCAAATGGAGTTTCTATTTCTAGGCCCTTGAGGAATCGCCACACTGTCTTCCACAATGGTTGAACTAATTTACACTCCACCAACGGTGTAAAAGTGTTCCTATTTTTCCACATCCTCTCCAGCATCTGTTGTCTCCAGATTTTTTAATGATCGCCATTCTAACTGGCGTGAGACGGTATCTCAATGTAGTTTTGATTTGCATTTCTCTGATGACCAGTGATGATGAGCATTTTTCCATATGTTTGTTGGCCTCACGTATGTCTTCTTTTGTAAAGTATCTGTTCATATCCTTTGCCCACTTTTGAATGGGCTTGTTTTTTTCTTAGATTCTGTTTTAGTTCTTTGTAAATTCTGGATATCAGCCCTTTGTCAGATGGGTAAACTGCAAAAATTTTTTCACATTCTGTTGGTTGCCAATTCACTCTAATGACTGTTTCTTTTGCTGTGCAGAAGCTGTGGAGTTTGATTAGGTCCCATTTGTCTATTTTGGCTTTTGTTGTCAATGCTTTTGGTGTTTTGGTCGTGAAGTCCTTGCCTACACCTATGTCCTGAATAGTTTTGTCTAGATTTTCTTCTAGGGTTTTTATGGTGTTAGGTCTTATGTTGAAGTCTTTAATCCATCTGGAGTTAATTTCAGTGTAAGGTGTCAGGAAGGGGTCCAGTTTCTGCTTTCTGCACATGGCTGGCCGGTTTTACCCACACCATTTATTAAACAGGGAATCCTTTCCCCATTGCTTGTTTTTGTCTGGTTTGTCAAAGATCAGATGGTTGTAGATATGTTGTGTTGCCTCTGAGGCCTCTGTTCTGTTCCATTGGTCTATATCTCTGTTTTGGTACCAGTACCATGCTGTTTTGATCACTGTAGCCTTGTAATATAGTTTGAAGTCTGGTAGTGTGATGCCTCCCGCTTTGTTCTTTTTGCTTAGAATTGACTTGGCTATGCGGGCTCTCTTTTGGTTCCATATGAAGTTTAAGGTGGTTTTTTCCAGTTCTGTGAAGAAGGTCATTGGTAGCTTGATGGGGATAGCGTTGAATCTGTAAATTACTTTGGGCAGTATGGCCATTTTCACGATATTGATTCTTCCTAACCATGAACATGGAATGTTTCTCCGTCTGTTTGTGTCCTCTCTTATTTCGTTGAGCAGTGGCTTGTAGTTCTCCTTGAAGAGGTCCTTTACGTTCCTTGTTAGTTGTATTCCTAGGTATTTTATTCTATTTGTGACAATTGTGAATAGAAGTTCGTTCTTGATTTGGCTCTCTTTAAGTCTGTTATTGATGTATAGGAATGCATGTGATTTTTGCACATTGATTTTGTATCCTGAGACTTTGCTGAGGTTGCTTATCAGTTTCAGGAGATTTTGGGCTAAGACAATGGGGTCTTCTAGATATACAATCATGTCATCTGCAAATAGAGACAATTTGACTTCCTCCTTTCCTATTTGAATACCCTTTATTTCTTTTTCTTGCCTGATTGCTCTGGCTAGGACTTCTAGTGCTATATTGGATAGGAGTGGTGAGAGAGGGCATCCTTGTCTAGTGCCAGATTTCAAGGGGAATGCTTCCAGTTTTTGCCCATTCAGTATGATATTGGCTGTTGGTTTGTCGTAAATAGCTTTTATTATTTTGAGATATGTTCCGTCAATACCTAGCTTATTGAGGGTTTTTAGCATAAAGGGCTGTTGAATTTTGTCAAAGGCCTTCTCTGCATCAATTGAGATAATCATGTGGTTTTTGTCTTTGGTTCTGTTTATGTGGTGAATTACGTTTATAGACTTGCGTATGTTGAACCAGCCTTGCATCCCCGGGATGAAGCCTACTTGATCGTGGTGGATAAGCTTTTTGATGTGCTGTTGCAATCAGCTTGTCAGTATTTTATTGAAGATTTTTGAATCTATGTTCATCATGGATATTGACCTGAAGTTTTCTTTTCTTGTTAAGTCTCTGCCGGGTTTTGCAATCAGGATGATGTTGGTCTCATAAAATGATCTGGGAAGAATTCCCTCTTTTTGTATTGTTTGGAATAGTTTCAGAAGGAATGGTACCAGCTCCTCTTTGTATGTCTCGTAGAATTCGGCTGTGAACCCATCTGGACCTGGGCTTTTTTTGGGTGGTAAGCTCTTAATTGCTGCCTCAACTTCAGACCTTGTTATGGGTCTGTTCAGGGTTTCGGCTTCTTCCTGGTTTAGGCTTGGGAGGAGGCAAGTGTCTAGGAATTTATCCATTTCTTCCAGGTTTACTACTTTATGTGCATAGAGTTGTTTGTAATAATCTCTGATGATGGTTTGAATTTCTGTGGAATCTGTGGTGATAACCCCTTTATCGTTTTTTATTGCATCTATTTGGTTATTCTCTCTTTTCTTTTTTATTAATCTGGCTAGTGGTCTGTCTATTTTGTTGGTCTTTTCAAAAAACCAGCTCCTGGATTTATTGATTTTTTGAAGGGTTTTTTGTGTCTCTATCTCCTTCAGTTCTGCTCTGATCTTAGCTATTTCTTGTCTTCTGCTAGACTTTGAGTCTTTTTTATCTTGCTCCTCTAGCTCTTTCAATTTTGACAATAGGGTGTCAATTTTTTATCTCTCCTTGCTTCTCATGTGGGCACTTATTGCTATATATTTTCCTCTAGAGACTGCTTTAAATGTGTCCCAGAGATTCAGGTATGTTGTGTCTTCATTCTCGTTGGTTTCGAAGAACATCTTTATTTCTGCCTTCATTTCATTGTTTATCCAGTCAACATTCAAGAGCCAGTTGTTCAGTTTCCATGAAGCTGTGTGGTTGTGAGTTAGTTTTTGAATTCTGAGTTCTAACTTGATTGCACTGTGGTCTGAGAGACTGTCTGTTACGATTTCCGTTCTTTTGCATTTGCTGAGGAGTGATTTACTCCCAATTATGTGGTCAATTTTAGAGTAGGTGTGATGTGGTGCTGAGAAGAATGTATATTCTGTGGATTTGGGGTGGAGAGTTCTGTAAATGTCTATTAGGTTTGCTTGGTCCAGGTCTGAGTTCTAGTCCTAGATATCCTTGTTAATTTTCTGTCTGGTTGATCTGTCTAATATTGACAATGGGGTGTTAAAGTCTCCCACTATTATTGTGTGGGAGTCTAAGTCTCTTTGTAAGTCATTAAGAACTTGCCTTATGTATCTGGGTGCTCCTGTATTGGGTGCATATATATTTAGGATCGTTAGGCTCTTCTTGTTGCATTGATCGTTTACCATTATGTAATGTCCTTCTTTGTCTCTTTTGATCTTTGTTGCTTTAAAGTCCAATTTATCAGAGATGAGAATTGCAACTCCTCCTTTTTTTTCCCTCTCCATTTGCTTGGTAAATCTTCCTCCATCCCTTTATTTTGAGCCTTTGTGTATCCTAACATGTGAGATGGGTTTCCTGGATACAGCACACCGATGGGTTTTGGCTTTTTATCCAATTTTCCAGTCTGTGTCTTTTGATTGGGGCATTTAGTCCATTTACATTTAGGGTTAATATTGTTATGTGTGAATTTGATACTGCCATTTTGGTGCTAGCTGGCTGTTTTGCCCATTAGTTGATGCAGATTCTTCATTGTGTTTGATTCTCTTTACCATTTTGCATGTTTTTGGAGTGGCTGGTACTGGTTGTTCCTTTCTACGTGTAGAGGCTCTTTCAGGAGATCTTGTAAAGCTGGCCTGGTGGTGACGAAATCTCTGAAAACTTGCATGTTCACAAAGGGTTTTATTTTTCCCTCACTTATGAAGCTTAGTTTGGCTGGATAGGAGATTCTGGGTTGAAAGTTCTTTTCTTTAAGGATGTTGAATATTGGCCCCCATTCTCTTCTGGCTTGTAGGGTTTCTGCTGACAGATCTGCTGTGAGTCTGATGGGCTTCCCTTTATGGGTAACCCGACCTTTCTCTCTGGCTGCCCTTAGTATTTTCTCCTTCATTTCAACCCTGGTGAATCTGACGATTATGTGCCTTGGGGTTGCTCTTCTTGACGAATATCTTTGTGGTGTTCTCCGTATTTCCTGGACTTGAATATTTGCCTGCCTGGCTAGGTTGGGGAAGTTTTCCTGGATAAGATCCTGAAGAGTATTTTCCAGCTTGGATTCATTCTCTTCGTCGCATTCGGGTACGCCTATCAAACGTAGATTAGGTCTTTTCACATAGTCCCACATTTCTTGGAGACTTTGTTCATTTCTTTTTACCCTTTTTTCTCTATTCTTGCCTTCCCTTTTTATTTCATTGAGTTGATCTTCTACCTCTGATATCCTTTCTTCTGCTTGGTCAATTCGGCTGTTGATACTTGTGCACGCTTCGTAAAGTTCTCATGTTGTGTTTTTCAGCTCCATCAGTTCACTTATATTCCTTTCTATTTTGTCCACTCTCGTTAGCATTTCGTCAAATCTTTTTTCAAGGTACTTAGTTTCTTTGCATTGGGTTAGAACATGTTCTTTTAGTTCACAGAAGTTTCTTACTACCCACCTTCTGAAGTCTGGTTCTGTCATTTCATCACACTCGTTCTCCATCCAACCTTGTTCCCTTGCTGGTGAGGAGTTGTGATCCCTTGTAGGAGGAGAGGTGTTCTGGTTTCGGATGTTTTCATCCTTTTTGCGCTGGTTTCTTCCCATCTTTATGGATTTATCCACCTGTCGTCTTTGTAGTTGCTGGCTTTCAGGTTGGGTCTCTGAGTGGACATTCTGTTTGTTGATGATGGGTTATTTCTGTTTCTTGGTTTTCCTTCTCACAGTCTGGCCCCTCTGCTGTAGGTCTGCTGAGGTCCACTCCAGGCCCTGCTTGCCTAGGGATCAACTGCAGCAGCTGCAGAACAGTAAGGGTTTTTACCAGTTTTCTTCTTCTCCTATCTTTGTCCCAGAAGGATACCCGCCAAGTGTCAGTCTGATCTCTCCTTTATGAGGTGGCTCTTTGGATATACAGGGGTCAGGGAGCTGCTTGAGGAGACGGTCTGTTCTTTATAGGAGCTCAAATGCTGAGCTGTGAGCTCCGTTGTTCATTCAGAGCTGCTGGGCAGGTACGTTTAGGTCTGCTGCAGCAGAACTCATAAACCGCTTTTTCTTCCCAGGTGCTGTGTCCCAGGGATTTAGGGCTTTATTTATGAGTTTCCGTTATGCTGCTGCCTTCTTTTTTTTCCTTCAGAGCTGCCCTGCCCAGCAAGGAGGCAGCCTAGTCACTGTCTGCCTGTAGAGGCTTTGCTGAGCTGCTGTGGGCTCCACCCAGCTGCCAAGTGAACTTTCCTGCAGTCCTATTTATATGGGTGAAGTTAGAACTGCCTCGGCAATGGTGGTCTGCCTCTGTTAAGGCGGAGTCTCTCTGTAGTGGGGGGTTGCCTTGGCAACGGCGGGCTGCCTCAGCAATGGCTGACTACCTCCGTAGTGGTGGGCTGCCTCAGTAATGGCGGACACCCCTCCCCCACAGAGCTGGACCATCCCGAGTTCAGCTGCGCTTGCTGTGAAACTCTCAATCCAGAGAGTTTCTGACTGCTGTTCTTTTGTGGGGGTGTGACCAGCCAAGCCTGATAGCCTGGTTCCCTGCCTCAGAGCCTTTTTTTTTTTTTTTAAGTTGGTGTTCCAGGCGCCTGTTGAGGAGGCGCTGGGATCTGTGTGCTTTCCCGTGTGGCGACTCACTGCGCTGGCTTAAACAGTGGCACTGAGATTCGTGGCGCTTTTTTTGCCCTGGAATCTACTGTCCTGGTTCCCTGTTCAGTCCTCTTTTTAAACAGATGAATGGGCGACTTCCTGTGGCTCCAATCGCCAGCCAAAAGGGCACCCGGACCAGTGTATTTTGTATGGAGAACTGCTGCGCCGGGGCGCTAACAAAGCAGCCGTGCAGGGCAAAGCAGCCGCGCCAGCCGACATAGCCGTGCTGGTGATCCATGGGGCTTCTACACCTGGGAATTTCCTAGTCTGTGGGCAATAAAAATGCAGCGTCCACTCACCCTCTGCACTTTCACTGGGAGCTGCAATCCTGAGTGGTTCCTAAACGGCCATCTTGGATCCCCCCGGTCGTGTTTTATATTCTTTTACTAATTTCATCTGCAGAGCAACTGAGTCAAACAGATATTTCTGCCTCCATTTTACATATGAAGAACTGAAATTCAGAAAAGGCTTTCTCTTCTGTGCTTCCCTAATGCCCTGGGAATCTGTCATTACCTTTGTCAGACCACATTATAATTACAATTATCTGTTTATATGTCTGTCTCCTCCCTTACGAGAACCATCTGAGTACAGAAACTGTTTTTCTTATTTATCTTTGTATCCCAAGAGTCTAAAAGCACAAAATATGCAAACTATAAATAGCTGCCTAGTGAATGAATAAAACGATTAATTTGCCTAACATTCAAAACATGGTGGAGCTGGGATTTAAAGCCATGTCTTCTAATTGCAATGCTCAAGCTCTGTGTAATACACCATACCACCTTCCAGTAAAGAAGAGATTTTAGGACAGATGACCTATACAGATTCCAATGGCAAGAGTCCACACTCTTTATACTATCTTTGTGCAGGTAAAATGTTCCATTCTGTCTAGTCAGTGACTTTTAACTAGTAAGTGATTATTCAATGATTTGAAAACTACAGTATCTCTAACTTCTTTTAATGGAAACTTCTAAGACTATTTAGAGACATCCACAGATATCAGTAAACAGCAACACCAAAAAGAGGACATTCAATGTGAGAAAGGCTGTACGAGTCCATCTATTTGATGTGTAGTAGCACAGATATGTACACTATAAATTCTAAACCAGGTTCATGCTCTTTGACCCAAACAAAGAATGGTCTCTTTTGCAGTCGTGGATGGGTATGAAATCACTGTATGAAATCACTTAACTAAGGGCTTCTTCTGTATGTTAGGATGACTATGGTAATAATACTCTGTTCCCACATCCCTATTTAGAAAATTCTGTTTCCTCCTGGGAAAACAATCCAGAGGCCATTATGACATTATGGATCAGGATCTGTTCTCAGTCGTTCTGCAGCAGGGAGTGTCATCGTCTTTCCTACCACCACTGGCATCAGGGAATCTCGGTCTGTCAGTTGTGACAGATCAGGTTCCAGAGAACAAGGCAGTGTGCATGATTCATGAAAGCAGAATTTTTATCCAAGTTACCTGCAGTGCAGAGACCAGGGAGAGGATCTAACTTCTATTGTAAAAACTGTTTTTTAAAAATCTCAGACCTGGCACAGTGGCTCATGCCTATAATCCCAGCACTTTGGGAGGCCAAGGCAGGCAGATCATGAGGTCAGGAGTTTGAGACCAGCCTAACTGACATGGTGAAACCCTGTCTCTAATAAATACAAAAACTAGCCAGGCATGGTGATGGATGCCTGTAATCCCAGCTACTCGGGAGATGGAGGCACGACAACCACTTGAACCTGGGAGGTGGAGGCTGCAGTGAGCTAAGATCGTGCCACTGCACTCCAGCCTGGGAGACAGAGCAAGACTTTGTCTCAAAAAAAGAAAAAAAAAAAATCCCAGCATATAAAAAGGTACTTTTCTTTTTTTTGAGACAAAGTCTGGCTCTGGTTCCAACTTTGGAAGGCTGAGGTGGGTGGGTTGCTTAAGGTCAGGAGTTCAATGCCAGCCTGGCCAACACAGTGAAACTCTGTCTCTACTAAAAATAAAAAATTAGCCAGGTGTGGTGGTGCATGCCTGTAATCCCAGCTACTCAGGAGGCTGAGGCAAAAGAACTGCTTGAACCTGGGAGGTAGAGGCTGCAGTGAGCTGAGATCGTGCCACTGCACTACAGCCTGGGCAACAGAGTGAAACTCCACCCCCACCCAAGAAAAAGAAAAATATATACACTGAGAATCTTAATCAGAAGTATGAACTTGTATCAATCAGCTTTATGTTTACTGCCAGATATATAAATTTAGGAAAGGTAATGATGCAAACAGAGATTTGTTTTATCATGCAGCTATCATGACTTTGCATTTCTGATCACATACAGAAATTAGGGCTGAAAGTTATGTATACATCATAATATAAATATAGTAATTTTTTCCAAGACTGTTTCTGTTACTTATTGGTACATAATAAAAAAAATGCCCTAGAACTTCATATTCAAACCTGTGTTCTATTTCTACCATTATTAGCAGTATGACTTAGAGCAAATTAAACATCCTAAGCCTCTGTTTCCCCATCTGTAACAGAAATAATGCATACAAAAGTACTCCAGAAATGGTAACTACTGTTATTTTTAGAAACAGTGCTGAACTAATCTTAACTATAAAAATCTCTCCCTGATATAAGTGCCCCCAAAACTAAAAGCCCCCTGCCACCTAAATCTTTCAGGCCAATGTCAATGTTGCATCAGAGAGGACTGCCAGCAGAAAGAAACCACTGAGAAAAAATATAAAGGAAAATATTCACCTCCTTATCTGCCACTATTATTCTTACTCCATCCGAGATATCTCTGCTACCTGGAGAGACTTCTCTTTCAAGGTCAAAAGTTTCAGAAGAACTTAGCTGTGTCTCTGTAATTTAAAAAAATTAAAATCCCATTAATGTTCATTTTGTGTTTTCACAGTTAAAAAAACAAACATGCCGATTTTCCCTAAAGTTTAGGATATTATAATATGATGGTGGTAATGTATTAATAGATCTAATTTGTTTCTTCTTAAAGCTTTACTGAGGCATAATTTACAAATAACAGAATTCACAAATTTTCAGCATATAGTTTAATGTGTTTTGACAAATATAAACCATTTATACACTGTAGCATTTATACCATGTAACCACTACCATAATCAAGATATAAAACATTTCCAACACCCCCAAAAAGTTCTCTGTACCCTTCTGCAGTCAATCTTCTACCACTTTGGTCACTCCAACAGACTCTTTACAAAGACCAGTTTACTTTATGGTCCTTTAATTCTGTCTTTTCTAGAATGTCATATAAATAGAATCACATGTCTTTTGTGTCCAGCTTCTTTCACTTACCATAATGTGTCTAAGATGGACCATGTTGTCATATAATATCAATAGTTCATACTTTTTACTACTGAGTAGCATTCCATTGTACAGGCACATCACCATTGTATATTCACTGACCAATTGGCTTATTTCCACTGTAATTCTAGTTTTAAAGTATATTGATTTGAGAGAAAACAAGAACCTGTCAATGTTAGTGCTGAGGTAAAAGAGGATTAGCAAAAACAGAAATTGGGACCAGAAATAGAATATACATTCTAGACAAATATATGCCTTTCTTTAATATATTCTTAAGCAGCATCTATTAATTCAACAAATATTAATTGAACATCAAGTCCCAAGCATTGTACTAGCAACCAGTAATATGAAACTGTAAGCTGGGGTCCAGCTGCCTATTTTTCTAAGTAAAGTTTTATTGGAACACAGCCATACTCATTCATCTATGTACTGTCTATGGCTGTTTTTGCACTAAAATGGCAGAACCAAATAGTCTCAACAGACTATATGGCCCACAGGTCCTAAAATATTTATTACCTAGTCTTTTCTCTTTGAAAAGTTTTGCTGGGCACAGTGGCTTATGCCTGCAATCCCAATGCTTTGGAAAGACGAAGCAGGAGAATCACTTGAGGCCAGGAGTTCAAGGTTGCAATAAGCTATGATCACACCACTGTACTCCAGCCTGAGTTACAGAGTGAGACCCTGTCTCAAAAAAAAAGAAAAAAGAAAAAAAAAAAAAAGAAAGTTTGCCAACCTCTGCTGTAGACACAGATCACTTAATATAACAACAAAAAATAGTAATTATCTTTAAAAAACACCAATATATCTGGAAAAGAAACATTACAGACTGAATGTTTGTGTACTTCCCAAACTTTGTATGTTGAAATCCCAACCCTAATGTGATAATATTAGGAAATGGGACCTTTGGAAAGTAATTAGGTCATCAGCATAGAGTCCTCCCTCAAAAGACTGGGATTAGTGCCGTTTTATAAGGGACCCGAGAGAGCTCTCTCACCCTCTTTCCACCATGTGAGGACACAGTGGGAAGTGCCATCTATGGCTCTCACCAGACACCAAATCTGCCAACGTCTTAATCTTGGACTCTCCAGCCCCCAGAACTGTGATAAATAAATTTATATTGCTTATAAGCCACTCAGTCTGGAGTATTTTGTTATAGGAACCCAAACTAAGATGCAGAATGCAAATCCAGTAAGTTATCTGTTATCTGATATGGTATCTACTGTACCTCTAACTGGTACTTTTGTGCTTCACAAATACAATAAATAGCCAATGTTAGGCAAATAGAGCATCTTGCAAGTTTATAATGTATCTTCTGAATCGTTAAGGAAGAATTAAATAAATTTCCAGAATTAACTGTATTTTAATAAATCCAAATTTTTTTGAAAACTGGACACACACACACACATACCACCTTGTTGGAAAAAGGCTTACAGTACATAAACTTTAAAATCGTCTCTGTTAACCTGAAAGGTATATTCAAAAAGACCTTCAGTACATTTAAAAATAAGAACCATTCACTGCTTAGATGACTGCAATAAAAAAAAGTCTTCAATTAAGCTTTCCGTGAATGGCTAAAATGTCCAACTAAGAGGGCATTAGCTTCTCAGAAATAAGCAATGCTAGAAGCATGCAAAATGTGGGCATAGGCTATAATTTTGTGTCTTCAACTAAGTAACACTAAAAAGATATTGGAATCTTAAATATTAGACCCCTGAACTGTCAGAAATATGAAACAAAAGGAAACAGGTAACACACTACACTAAACGTGTGTTTCATCCATTTGGAACAATTTTTTTCAAACAATTTATATATATAATTTCTAAATTATATATTTAAAAAGAAACCCAGGAGTTTGGCTTCATGGTGAAATAGTTATACTTTCTTAGCAAAAGGAACATTAATGTAATGAATACCTTTTGCAATCTCATTTGGAAGTGGTTTATATCAGCAAACAGTTGGACTTAATTAGTAGGCTAATGACAGCAAGTCATGATCATAAAAGCTATCTAACCTCAGTATGAAGGCCTTGCTTTTCCCTCTCATTAACTAGGCCTTTCAAGATCAATATATTTGCAGGTTCCTCCTGTAAGATCCCGTATCACACACCATCATCCTATAAAGACTGAGTGATTTCCTTCCAGGAAGTCAGTAGTCCTGGACAGAGAGGGGGAAAGCTTTCTTTCACAAGGGTAGCACAGCATTCTTGGGTGCTCCTGCCAAAATCTGAGTACTTGGTAGTGTTGTCTCTTAGTGGGTATTGTTAGGCAGTAATCCAAACACATTTCAAATGAATTAAGGAGCCACTTTCAGTAAAAACCAACATAGGGTGAGCATAATGGTTCATGCCTATAATCCCCAGCACTTTAGGAAGCCCAAGTGGGAGGATTACTTGAACCCAGGCATTTAAGGCCAGCCTAGGAAACACAGCAAGACCTTGTCTTTACTTAAAAAAAAAAAAAAAGTCTTAGTTTTAAAAATTAGGTGGGGTGGCACATGACTGCAGTCCTAGCTACTCAGGAGGCTGAGGTGGGAGGATCATTTAAGCCAAGGAGTTTGAGGTTGCAGTCAGTGAGCCATTCACTCCAGCCTGGGCAAGACCCCCATCTCAAAACAAACAAACAAAACTGTCAACACAGTTCAATTTTTAAAATAAATAAAGACCTTTATGATAGACTACCAGATGTTTAAAAATATTTATAAAACTTTCCTAGATTACATGCGAACTAAGTTTGAGTCTCTGTGGAAAAACATTGAAGAAACCAAAATAAGAAAACTGTGAGTACCTCTAACCCTTACAGGCTATATGAGACCTGAGGGAAAACCAGATATGACTTATGGTAACATCTGTATACTTGCTGTTCAAAGTTAAACAACAGCAGGAAGTCCCTCAATCTCACATGAATGAGGCTAATGATAAATACAGTGGGCTATACTTTTCAGAAGTCAGGAAGGAAAATATAGTCTAAAACAAATTCCTTACAAAGTAGTAGTTCATATCACAAAATAATGCTTCATATCACACAATGATTCAGGAGTTTCCTTAGATGGTAAGTATCTTAGTTCATTTTAAATTGTTTTGTATATCTAAATCTATCCATGTGCAACATTGAATGAGCATCTCTTCTGCCTAAAATAAAGTACGTATCTTTTAATTTTTATAATTAACAAAAAGCAAGCTAAAGTACTTAACCAGGTTAATCATTTTGTCTAAGATGAAAAATAACAGTGATGGCCGGGTGCGGTGGATCACGCCTGTAATCCCAGCACTTCAGGAGGCCGAGGTGGGCATATCATGAGGTCAGGAGTTTG